AGGCTTCCAGCTGTGAACAGGCCTCTTCCTGCCCTTCCTCTTTTGATGTTTTCCACTAGACATACAAGAGCTGCTTGCACTGAGGCAGCAAAGTCCCTAAATATTTATCAAAGGCTGTCATTGGTGGTAAAAACTGGAATGCCCAGAAAAGAGAATTGGAAAGAGGGGAGACAACAGCACGCAGGGCCGTCCCGCCTTCTCCCCTCTCCATGAGGCCTTGTCTCTTCCCTTTAAGGGAAAAGAAGCTGGAACTGTGGGAAGGACTGGATTCATGCAGTCTTGAGATTGCAAAAGGGATTAGCAGGGAAGGACAGAAAGATGCATTAGGTACAAATGTGTGATTTTACTGAAAGACTGGAAGGAGGTGACATGCAAACAGTACACAAATACCATGAGCAAGTTAGAGGTGGTAGCCCCTTCAACTGGCAGGTGTGGCTCTTATAACACCCCTTATGTCTACCTGTCTTGCTACTTTAAACTCACTAATGCAAACCCAATGAGATCTTTATGGAAGTTTGCTAGGAAAATACTGGCTTCAAGGGCAGATTGTGGCTATGTTTGGGCATGAGAGGCTGCAACTGCTAATAACTAAAGCTAAACTGACCTTCATGCTGCCATCTAGTGTTTCCTCATAGACAGAACCAACATCCAAAAAAAGAAACTTTGCAGCTCCATAATGCTGTATTCAGAACAAATGTAATTTATTCCTGATGAAATACAATGCTGGACAACACACAGGAGAGGGAATGGGTAAGAGACATGTGGAGAACCTACTGCTCAGGGGGAATGTTTAGGGAGACATGTTTTCTTAAAACATTTGTAATTATTTCATCCAGGAACAGAGAGAGTCATCTCCACTGCAAGATGATTATTCAGCAGCAGAATCTGTCCTCACTTTTTTCACTCTGTGAAACTAATATAGCTGTTTGCAAGGTGCAACAGTACACAACAGAGAAAGAATCCTGACAAAAGCTTGTCTTAACAGAGAGAGACTAGCATAAGAAGCTTGGCAGGTTCTTCTTGTCTGTCCTTGCTACTCTCATAAACAAACAAATGGGATGTTTATTCACAGTCATCAGATGCTGATTTTCCTTTCAAGTGTACATGACAGCTAACAAAAGGTAACAAGTTGCTGTGGGTGGAACATGCAAAAGATTTGACTCTTGGCCCTTCATAGCTTGGTCCCTGGCTTTGAGAAGCTGTAACAGGACACTCTTCCAGCTGTTGCACATCCTGGATTCATGCTGGAACTGTAGAACTCTAGCCTTAATAGTTACAACTCAAGAGTTCATGGGCTGGATGATGCATTTACAACAGATAGAGCATTCTTTTCCCCCAGACTTCTTTTAGGTGTTTTGAGTCGAAGTTCAAAACAAACCCGAAGCATCCAAAATCACTACTCTCTTTTGGAGACGCTGTCTTCTGAGATTTGCCTCCTGACAACCTGAGCAGGAAAGCTGCAAGGAAAGACTGCACAAGTGAAAAAGGGCAAAAGTCAGCTAATTCAAGGAAACAGACTGTCCAGAGGGGAAGCCATAATCAGCAGCCTTCAAAGGGCTCCCGATGGCATTGTATGATATCAGGTACAAATTTACTAATTTGCAGGAAAGTTTTCCCATTTATAATAAAATTTTCGTACCAGGATTTGAACATTATATATGTGAACTGACTGCATGTTCTCAGTGCAGTCATAACACAGCTTGTTTAGGTGAAGAGAAACAGCAGCACAGAAAAGAATAGAACCAAAGTCTTCAGCAGAAAGGACCATGTACTTCTCTGCTTACAAGTTAAAACACGCAAGTGGTCTCAGGCCCTTAGATCCTTAAAAGACCTCATCCACAGCACAGGAATTCCTCATGTGCGCAAAGGTAGAGTCCACATTTCTGAATCACACTATTCCTGTTTTTTCACCAAGAGGACAATTGCATCCCAGACCCCAGTCCCATCAAACTGAGCCTACTGCTGGATTAAGGCATCATTATTCTTCTTCTCCAGCTGTTGGTACCAGGCTGTAACACCTATGTAGGAACCACAAGCCTTTTCCTAACACATCGAACAAGGCTGCTTTTTAGCAGTCTTTTTTTATGCTCAGTACTCTTTGAATTCACACCAAATAGAGTTGTATGCCTGAATACAGGGCTTTTCTTTTCCAAACCTTGTGTTTAATGCTCATTACTATGGAAGGAAGTCACATTCTCTTTCAGTTCCTTGTTCTCCTCCCTTCCATTGAGTCACGATGACACTCAGCAAGGATAAGTGAATGAAAAAAAGATACGCTTCAGCTCTCTTCCAAAGTGTTCAGGACTTCTGTGGATTAAAAAAGAGCAAGAGACTCCTGTTTTACAGCTTCGTCTCTAAAGAGCCCATCTGAGAATACCAAGGGACAAAGGCTTGAAAACCAAGAGCATATGTCTGTAAGCAGACTCTTCAGGATCTGCATCATCTGCTTGCTTACAAAAGTAGCTACATGCTTGCTGGTGTGGGATACAGGGACAACAGAGCAATGGCCATATGGCTCCAAAAACAATCTATTCCCCATCCAGCATGGAGAGACTGCCATTGGGGCTCTGGCACTGAGGCTTACCAAAATCTGAAGTGAACTGGGATACTCCTTTCTGAGTGACCACTGTTTTTACTCCATGGGAAAATGGATGAGGGCTTTGTGGATACAAACGGGCCAAAGCCACAGGAATTAGCACAAAGCTTGTGGGGGGCATGCCATGGTCTCTGCTCCCCCATCCTCTGCCAACCAGTTGAGGTGGACTAATTTTTTTTTTATTATTTTTCAAGATATTTTTTGTGTAAATGTTGCAAAAGAGTACTTATTATTTCTTAAGGAACAAATTTCCCCTGCACCCACACAATTTAATTTCTCTCTCTCCTCCTCTTCTAATAATAGATTAAACATACCAATGGGAAGCTTGCAGAGCTCTAGGATTGGGTAGATTTATTTTTTTTAATCAAAAGGTACGAGTTCAGTTGTTCTTTTCTTCTCAGTTCTGGGCACAGAGGCTTCGCCCTTCAGATAAGCTACATAAATAGGAAGGACATCAACTTCAGTATGTTGTTTGCCTCGTGATTCACTATAGCATTTCCCTAGTACCAGGCATGGCTGCCTCCCGAATAAGCAGAGTTAAAACTTTCCTGTAGGTGTCTAAGACCTCTCGGGCAGAAGGTCGTTCCACCGGGTCCTTCTTCTTACATGCTGCATGGATGTCAAACAAATGCAGTCGTACAATGTCACTTCCTTCAACATGGCCCAACAAAAAGTTGGAGACATCTGGGATTTTCCAGATGTCTGTTTTCTCATCATAAGGAGGCATGAGGTCATCTTTGAATGGCACATCTTCTCCATAGGGCCAACGCTGCTCAGGAGCTACAAACTCACCCTGGAGCTCCCGATGACCGCACTTCACCAGTCTGCCAGCACTCCTGTTCACAAGAGGCAAAGCATCCAAATCATTCACTAGGATGTGAAAGTCACTTGTCAGGAGATACTGAGAGAGAACCTTGTCCAGGTCATTCGAGTCGCACATCACTAAGGTGCCCAGAGGGCTGCTGTGCAGGTAACGAATGACACTCACATAGTCTATAGCAAGCATCAACCTGTGATGCCAGGTGTTCATGCTCTTGTATTTGGGAATGTGTAGAGTTTCATTCAGACCCCTCAGGGAGCCAAGAGGATGGTACTCGGTGAGGATTGTGAACTGCTGCTCACAGTAGCCAAGCAGCCGGACAACGTGCTTGCTCTGCAGTGCTTTCAGCATCTTCAGTCCATGGAGAAAGTCCTCCTTCAGCTCTGAGTTGGTGAGCTGCGAAAGGACCACTTTGTTTTCCTTCCACTCAGAAAGAAAGACCTGAGAACGCACAAGAGACACGTAAGACACATGGAGAGCCTTCTATGAACTGCTACCAGCTGCTGCTGACCTCTGACTATGATGTTTAGTCACAACTGCAAACTGCAGTTACCAGGCACAGTCAGTCTTAGGTAGGGCCATGTACCTGTCACAGCAAGCTCTTACTGATGTCATAATTACATCACGATTTCCTAAGTTTTCTTTGAAATGGGCAATGCAGGTGAGTTACTTCATATCACCCAAACAGACAGTCTTACTCTGCCATGATTGTACCATGCTCCACAAGCACTTCACTGATTTCTTTGATTTTGCTCGTGTAACTGGAAGTCATTTGGTATCAGAGAGGTGGCCCAGGTCATGCTCTCCTACCTGTTCGGTTCACCTTATCAGTAGCCACATGCTCCTGGATGTCTACAGTAATTAGGTGCTGTGAGGATAGTCATAACAGCAGTATGGGCACTAATTAGCCAGTGAACTGTGAAAGGCCATTATCTAGGAGAGAAGAAAGGAAAACCAAACTCACCTTTTTCACAGCACCTTCACCAACACATTTGAGTTTCCTGACTTCCCTATTTATAGCCTCGCAGGAAAGCCACGGGGAACAATTTTTCACTGATCCCAGTTTGAAGTGCCCAAAAGGGCAGAGGCTGGGGTCCATTTCAGTGTGTTCCAAAGAGTTGTAAAACTTGTTGAGGTAGAGGTAGAGAAGGACATTAAGGAGCAGGACGGCCACAAGAAGTAACGCCAGCGAGATGGACGACACCTCTCTGGGAAGAAACTCTCTCCTAACGAAGTGCGGTTTCTTTTCCATGGCCTTGCCCTCTGCATTCTCCGTGAAAGACGGAGGCTAAGCAGGACCCTCTTCCCAGCCCGGGGATGGACGCCTGTGGAGCTTTCTCAGCGCCGGCAGCCCAGCCGCCCCGCAGACACCTGCGCCCCGAGCCTGCAGCCTGCGAAGAGAGGCCACGCGTGGCGGCGGGACGTGCTAAAGGCGGCTTCGAGCTCGACGCTTGCCCCTCTGTCCATCCTCCTGATTTTCCAAGCGGGCGGGCCCAAGCTGCCGGCCGCCCCGGGTAGGGACGCTTGACCCCGGAAAGCACGGAGAAGCGCGGCCGTGCGGGGCGGTGGCGGCGCCGCCCCGGGGCGGAGCGCAGCGCCATGGCGGCGGCGGCGGGGCTGGCGGCCGCGGTGGCGGCGGCGCTGGGCGCGCTGCTCATGGCGCCGGCCCTCACGGAGCCGCCCGGACACGGGTCGCCCGAGGGCAGCGCGCCCGGGCCCCGCGCCGGGGCGGCGGCGGCGGCGGAGCGGCGGCCGCCGGGGCGGATGGACCAGGCTCTGCTGCTCGTCCGCAACGAGCTGCCCGCTCCGGGCCTGCGCCTCGCCGCCCGCTCCGGCTCCTGCCACCAGGTGAGGGGCTGTGCCGGGCGTGGGTCACCCCCCGACCACCGCTTCTGATAGCCCAGCCCTCGGCGAGGCTGCTCGGCTTCTCTGGCGTCTCCCCGTGGCTTCGTCAGGTTGCTTCGCTCCGGTTTTACCTGCGAGCAGGACGCGAAGAATTCCCGCAGCAGGAGCTGCTCTAGCCCCGTGACAGCTTCCCTTGTTTTTGCCACTATGCGAGGCAGGACCCCCTTTCACTCTCCTTTGGCACTAATGAGCTCCCTTCACCCTCTTCTTCCGCAGTGCTTGTATCAGTTCCTGGCGTTTGTCCCACCAAGCAACGGGAGCCTGAAAAAACCAGGCACGGCGTCGGTAATGGTTGATACCCAGCATCCACTCACCCTGATGCTCAACAGCTCTGTGGGTGACAGAGAGCTCTGCAAGTACGTGGCCCAGCCCCAGGGAATACATGAATAATTCTATCCTATATTTTGTATTTTTTTTCCTTGGAGACATGTGACTGCTCACACACCCTTTGTCCCGACTGTTTAGACCTAGAGTTCAGTCTTTGCCCCACTGCTGGAACTGCGGCATACACTGTAATTGTGCTGAAAGGACATAGGTGCAAGCAGGAGCCAGAATGGTGTTCATTGAGGCAGCATGTGCAAGCACCTGGTTTCTCTTGCAGGGAGTCTGTAGTTCAAGAAGACTAATGATGGCAGTGCATGTGTGGTAAAGAATTGGTGTTGGGCTATGGAAGGGTAATGCTTGGCAAAGACAAGGGCCTTGCTAGATCATGCTGTTAGTCCAAGTTTTTGTCTTGCCTGTCCTAAAGCATTTTGGGCTTACAGCCCCCCTAAATGCTGCTGTGGTACCTGCATGTAGTGGTGGCGGCTCAGCAAGTTTCATTTTTTTTATCCTTTGCAGGATTCAGTATCATTTTGGAGAGTTTGGCAATTATTCCCTTGTGGTAAAGGCCCTAACTGCAAACACAGAAACTGTTTCTTGTGACCTAATCATCAATGAAGGCCCTATCAACAGCTACCTCCGTATGTAATGCTCTATTTTTCTCTTTAATTCTACAACTTGCATGTTTCCCAGAAGAACCACCTTCCTAAGAAGCCTGTGCAGCCACTCATGCTGTGCTGGAGTTGTCATGGGCTTGCCTCTCTTCTTTCTCAACATCTCGCTTCCTTATGTTATACACCCATCTTGAGGCCCTGACCAGGATCAGGCCATATATCTTCATGTGATATATGGTATGCCCACAACCTTTTTGCTGCAGGGATTAGTCCAAAAAAATCAGTGGGTATGTGTCCAGAGGGAGATACTGTCATAACTAGTTTGTTTCCCTGCATGTTTATGTATGTGCACAGAATCCTCCCTCTTCTTCCCTCTGTCTTGCTTCTCAAAAAATTGGAAACAATTCCCACAGTGTTTGGATTTTTGTTTGTTGTTGCAGTTTTAATTTTAAACCTGACATTTTTCTTTTTTTGTTTATCTCTTTTCCAGGACTGTTTCAAACTCTTGACTACATCTCTTCCATTCTTTTCCTTTACATGGCATTATTTTTCAGTCTTTCCAGTTTCCCAGCTGTAAAGAAAAATTCTCCATGCTTGCAAACTTGGTGTATTGTCCACTCCCCTGTCTCCTCCATGTTGAGGCTGTTTCAAAATCTCTATTTTTATTCTTCAGAATATATAGCACATCAGCTCTTCTCTCACTATTGCCTTGTGATGCAATGCAGTTCTATTTTTGCCTTTTTTATGCCAACATGTGTAGTCCCTGAGCTGCACTTTGAAACTAGCCTGCTTTTGTGTTGGGTTGTTCTGGGGGTTTGTTGTGAGGTTTTTTCCCTCTGGAACTCGGGCTGGGGATGTGTATTGCATGGAGAAGGTGGTGTGATGATTGGTGGGTTGGGATTTTTGTCATGTTTGTGTCATGCTTGGCCAAGCCCAAGTTGCGGAATGATTTTGTTAGATCATTTAAAGAGTTGTGTTCTTCTCTTTCTGTGTAGCTATTCTCTTTGCTTTCCTGGTTTACATGGGGATCCTTGCTGTCCTGATTGTTGGGCGCCTTTTTATGAAGTAAGTGAACAGAAATTCCTCCTCGCACGTGAAGTGGGGCCACCAGTTTAAAAACACGCGAGGGTGTGGTAATGCTTCAGAGTCCCACTTGTAGCCCTGCTTGCAGATCATCAAATCCTATTATCAGGTTGCCATGTGCAAGTTATGCTGTAGTAGCTGTCTGTGCAATAATAAATGCACAGCAATGTGATTTTGCTTGAGGGATATCTTGCAGCCTTGTTAGCTTGTGAGCAGAGCAGTTACTGCAGAGCAGCTGATGTCCACTGTAAGCTCACGCACACTCTGCCTCACCCTCCTATGACTTGTTCCTGGGTCTAGCCTGGAATCAGTAAGCAAAGTCAGTGGGACCTAAATGTGTGTAGCATATGCAACCTTCCACCTTGTGTACTTCATGGCATGAGTCATCCTTGCCTGTAAGCAACTCAAGAATAAAACCCCCAAGCCTGAGCTTGTCAGTGTAATTACACAGCTGGACTTAATTGAGATCCTAGGTACTGGCTGAATGTCAGTACCTGTGTGAGCTGTAAAAACAGAAATAGGGACTGTCCCAACTTTTGGTTTATGCTGCTAAATAGTTGCTATTAAAATGAAATTGACTATAAAGTACTTCTTGTTTTGTTTCGTGTTTTAAACTGTTACTAATTTTCAGAATTGATCCAGTCAGAAACTGGGTTTACAAGAAACTGAACCCCAGAGAAACTGATCGTCTGATTAATTCTGTGAGTGACCACACTATCTTTAGTTTGCATTCTGTAGTGTTTTCATCTCTGAGGAAAACACACGCTATTTGGACATCTGGAGACTTGTTTGTTACTAATCATCTTCCCCTTTTGTGTGTTCCCCTTAGCAAATCTTTTCTTGATGTCAGAGGCAATTTTATGTCAATGAAGAGTGTTTAGAATGGGTTTCCATGCAAGTTTAGTGGATTCCCTGTAGACCTCTTGCAAGTTTTGAACATACAGCTTTGTGCCCTCTTTAGTTCCCTTGAAGCAAACGTGTTGGTGAAAATACTGGCCCCTTCTGGCAGAGTGTAAGGGAAGGGAAGAAATGACACCCTTCATGTCTGCTTCCCACACAGCAGGAATTTTAGCAAAAAACTGAAGCCTAAATTTCTCTGGTACCCCTAGAGCTGGCATTTCTGTGTGAACCCTGTTTTGTACTAGAATGTAGATAGTTCATCACAGTCTGGACTTCACATCTAGGCCAAACCTGGTCCAAACCCATCTAGAATAAAAAGACTTGGAAGCAGAGCTCTGCAGCAATTCTTGTAGTTTTTCATCTCTATAGCCGTGATAGAGAGGTCTGCTTCTTTATGCTGTCACTGAGGCTGATCAGAGTAGTTTAGGAAACTCAATTGCAAAGAAGCCACTCCTGCATTTAAAAGGATTCATATTCTGCTAGTTTAGCTCTCAAAGCAGTCTCACTGTGCTGTCAGACAAGTTCTGATGGGATGGGATGGATCCTTTTTGAGGGTCAGCAACTGGATTTGCTCAGCTCTGTTGTAAAGCAGTACTCACAGTGATGGCAAGTCTTTGGCTGATTTGGACTGGACCCAACTCTCATGAGTCTCAAGCACAGGCTCTTTTTACTGAGCTGTTGTTTCTACCTGGTCAAATGTGGAGTATGGAGCATCTGCAATCATTATTGCAATATGGTGGAGCCAGGAAGAGGTTATTGGTAGCAAGTGAGGAAACAAAAGGAAGACAGGGAGAATAAAGACAGAGTTCGTGAAAGTTTGGAGTTTGCTGACCTCTGTTCCCTAGGCAGCTGGTGCAGCTGCTGACTCGCTCTTCATGTGTCTGTTTTTTTCCCAAAGGAGCTTGGATCCCCAAACACAACAGACTCCATTAACTGTGATCCTGCGCCGCATTCGTGGAGCACAGCCTCTCGGCAGCGGCTGCATTCCCTTGACACATTCCGAGGGTGAGCATAAGATCTTGCTCAAAAGCAACTCTTCCAAGGGGAATGAGGTTTTTCCAATGGCGGCTTGACAGTGTATGGAAATATATAGCAGATGGACAGTTCAAGGTGGTCTGTTTTACTTGGAAGTTAAGCAAGGTTTTAATTTCAGATTTTCCAAAACACTTTGCAGTTGATCTAGTTCAAAGAAACATTAAAGTTGTGATAGAGGGTGGAAAAGAACAACATGTGTTCAGTGTGAAAATGCTACGTGAAGGAGCTTACTTCAGTTCGCTGTCACCCGTGATCTTTGAAACACTGCTTCCTGCTTGGTAAAGCTGGAAACCTTGTTGGAAACCTTGTTGGAAATCTTTCTTTAAAAATAAAATAAACCAGATCTCACAGTTAGAAATGTTTTAGTGAGGGTAAACAGTAACTTTGTGTTCATATATATGTATTTCATTGGCATGCGATACTTAGTGTTTTCTTGTCTTTTTAGGCTCTCTCTTGTAATTATGGTGTTTGTTAACTATGGAGGAGGAAAATACTGGTTCTTCAAACATGAGAGTTGGAATGGTAAAGTACAATTGAGACAGTTAATCTGGGTTTTAACTGCAGCAGTGTCTAGGTATGGTTAGCATTGCAGCTGCTGCAGTGAGCTGTTGTTCAGCTGAAGGCTGGCATACTGTGCCAGTTTGCCTCTGCAGGGTGTCTGGCCTGTCAGGTTAATGGACAAAGAATGGTCCTGCTCATCACACAGCAGCAGGATGGTTTCACATCACAGTCTGTGTGTAACCTTTTCATTTGTCACAGAGGTTCATATCTTCACCTTTTCTGTGTTAATGACCACAGTCAAGCTGATGTTGCTCAGTGCTGTAAAAACATAATGCCTTGACTGACAAGCTGATGGGGAAGGAGTTGGGCGTTGTGGTGCCCCAGTGGAGAATAGCAAGGATCCCACTCCTGAAATCTTTTCCAAGGCACAGCAATGAGTTCTGACCCTCTTCATGAAGAGTGGTTAAAGCAGTGAACCAAGATGATTAGCTCTTTATAAGTTTTGTTTGTAACATGTTTTAGATTTGGGGACATCAAGTAATTGCAAGCAGTCTGCAATTCCTCTAGAATCTCAACAATAATATTGTTAAAATTTAGGGAGGTTCAAGGTAAATAATGTGCTCCTTCGTATTTCTCTGTAGGATTAACTGTGGCTGATCTGGTGTTTCCATGGTAAGTTTTCCTGAAGAATACTTCTTGTATGAAGTGATTCTTTATGTTAAGGGTTGCAAGCAGGACATTGGGTGCACCTTGCCTCCAAGTAGAAATGTATTTGGAGGGGTGAATTTGTCTTGAATCTGCCCCTCCAGGTAACCACAAAATCCTTATGAACCAGTAGAAAGTAGAAGAGCTAAGTGTTTTTGCTGCCCCCCATCCTCCTTCCTTCCACACACAGTGTCATTGGGAGGCCCAGGATTATTCTGCCAGTGGAAGTGCAGTGTCCCTGAGAAGCTCATTGTCATGCTTCTGTGTTGAAGGTGGTCAGTCTGGCAAGATTCAAAGCTGGATTGGTGTCCAGATAGCCAAGTACATTTTGGATTAAGCTAATATTTCTATAACCAGACAATGATCTTATGGGGAAGCAATTATCCCATCTGCCCCTAACAAGCTTCTTTACACCGGTTGTGGTTACTTTTGGAGGTGGGAGCTGGTCTTGGACTGTAAACCTAATCTAGAGGGGAGGACTGGGTCAATTCTGAATCTGAATCATAGATTTGCAGCTTGTGTTTTACTGTTCTGAAGATGCTAATTTAATTTTGATTAATGGAATTTTTTGGTAGCATATGAATTGCTGGAAAAAGACCAGAATGCAATTACAACCCTGCCTCAACTGACCACTGAAAAAGGTGGAAGGGTCCCATAGTGCAAGCTCAGTAGCCTGGGAACAGAGGAAATAGAATTGTCCAATTTCACTCAGTGAAATTTTGTTGGGCCAGTTAACTAACTTTGTTAGTTTTAGTGTTTGCTGTCACACAAGTGTAATGAGACATCAGTCAGCTCCATTTTCCATCTGCTCTGTTCTCCAGGTTTGTGTTCATCATGGGGACATCAATAGCGTTGTCACTGAGCTCCATGCTGAGGTGGGGAAGTTCCAAGTGGAAGGTGCTCAGGAAGATCCTCTGGAGGAGTTTTTTGCTAATCCTGCTGGGAATCATAGTTGTCAATCCCAATTACTGCCTTAAACCCTGTGAGTGGAACTAGCTCCCTTTCTTGCATTTCTGCAACTGCTGTTCCTGCCTCCTTGGCTGGGCTGTTGCAAAAACAGTGTCAGCCTTGCTGTACTGATCAGCTGTATGGGAGCAATTTGATGGTATCCTGTAGAGTGCTGTTCAGTTCTGCGCTGATGCAATTCTCTCTGTCAGGCTCCTGTGCCAATCACTACTATCATCTTAGTAGTGACTTTCCCAGGATTATGATTTACAGAAAGTTGGGGTGGCAGGGTGGAGGTGTCCGTTGTTACCTGCAGATGCAGTGTGTCTCAGCTCTCCCTGGAGAAAAGGGTAGCTTTCATATTTACAGAAGAGCCTGTGTTTACTCCTCTTTCACATTGCTTACATGTTTTCCAGTGTCCTGGGATAATCTGCGTATTCCTGGGGTGCTCCAGAGGCTCGGATTCACATACCTGGTGGTTGCTGCTCTTGAACTTTTGTTTACAAGAGCTGAGAGTGGGACCTGGGTGAGTTACGTGGGGAGATGACAGCTGAAACTGGAGTAAGGTTTGGGAACCTTTCCTCTTGTTTGGGCACAAAGAACATGAGAAATTGCAAGAAAACATGTAGCATCTTACCTGATATGTAGTGCAGTCTGACCTGGTAAAAATTTCGGGAAGCGTGCACCCTTCAGTGTCCCAGTCTGCATTTTATTCCATCTAGCTTTGCTGTATTTGAGGATTTCACAAATCCATTCAGATGGTGCTTAGAAGCAGGCATTCCAAGGCACTTTTGATGAATTTCCATTGCCAAAGGGAGCCCAGGGACAGGCATCTCTATGCTCAATCCTGTGGTCTGTTTTTTGTCCAGCTAATTTGGCAGCGTTTTTTCACAGCAGGGGAAAGTAATACTGCTTTTTGGCCTTTTGAGAGTCTGCTTTCCCAAAAGGCTTTTGTTCTACTCATGAATCAAAATTCTTTTTGACATTTTCCAAGTTAAAAAACATTAGGGGCTTTTGTTTTGGTTTGTTTCTACCATCCTCTCCGCCCTCCCCATGTAACTAAGTGTCTGGAAATCGTTTTTGAAAATGAAAGGTCTATTGGTAGAACCCAATTTTGTAATGACAGCAGCTCCCTCTTGTATCTGGGGGACTGCCTGCCAGGAAGTACAGGTTGTCCCCAAGGGCATGGTTCTTACTTGCCAGCTAATACTCCCTTTCCTCCATCTCATGCAGGAAACATCGTATCCTGCTCTGCAGGATATTCTCCCCTACTGGCCACAGTGGATTTTCATTCTGATTTTAGAAGTGATTTGGCTCTGCCTGACCTTCTTGTTACCTGTGCCAGATTGTCCTAGGTAAGACTGTGCTCTTGGACTACTTTCTGTGGGGCATCAGATACGTTTTCTTCTACTGAGTAGAAAGTACATTTTATTACCCATGGCAAAGGAATGGAGAGCTTTTAGGCCAGCAGCGTTAAAGGAAGCATTCACCATGTGAAAAAACTTTCTTTACTTTGGTACTAAAGTACTAGGTGTTACAAAGGGGATGTCATTCTTCCTTTCTATCTAAAGAAGAAGATTAAAATCTCCCTGAGGTCTGTGTACAGCAATATATGATCATTGCAATGCCATCAACATGTGCTTCTAGCCAGAGAAAACATTGAGCATTTAGTGTGCTGGGCCAGTAGTATGGAGCATACCAACGCTGTGTGCTATAACCTGCTTGCCTCTGTCCTAGGGGCTATCTTGGTCCTGGGGGCATTGGAGACTTTGGAAAGTATCCCAACTGTACTGGAGGAGCAGCTGGTTACATTGATCGTTTGCTTCTTGGAGAAAAGCATATATATCAGCATCCCTCTTCAGGTGTAAGTAGCTTTTGGTTTGTAGTATGAAGCCACAGGCAAGCACTGAACATACCTGTCAGGAGGGGCTTGGGAATGATACATACAAGGGGATTTAAGAGAAAGGAGATTGGTTGTTCAGGTGCCCTGTAACAACTGTTTTCTCTCTAAGGTGACTTACCAAACAACGATGCCATATGATCCTGAAGGGATCCTGGGGACCATAAATAGCATTGTTATGGCATTTTTGGGACTGCAGGTACCTCTTTTCTTTCTGGCTGCATGCAATAATGGAAAGATTTGAAGGAAGCTTGGAAGTGGGGAGGCAACTGGGTTTCTTTACTTATGACTGAGACTGGTTCTAACAAAAATTTTCCAGAGCAATGCTTTCAGGATGACAGCCTCAGGTGAGTGTCAGAGAAGTGGAACCTAACATGGCAGTAACTTGCATTAGATACACCTAGACTTTTTCTTAGTTTTTGTAAGGGATGGACCCAAGAAGTTTTCAAAATATCCACCTGGAAACTTCGTTTGTTTTAAGACCGGGCTTATGCTGGGAGTAGGCTAGCTCTGCATGTTGCAAAATAAGGCCAAGAGATGCATAGATTTCACAGCTCCATTTTAAGTGTTTTAAATATTGAAGCTGTGTTTGTTCCTCATTGCTAATTTTCTGCTTGATGTGCAGTTTTATCTGTCTCGCATAGGTGCTGAGTGTGCTCACCTTACCTGACTCGAGGGAGGCAGAGATCCACATTGGTGTTACCAACACCAAAAGCTCACAGCTCGCCACTGTGTTTGAAATGCCATACCATGATGCTTTTTGATGCAGTTCTAGTTAGTCACTGCTGGCTTTTCTGACTGTGCAGCAGCTGTGAAGCAAACTGAAACTCTTGTGCTTGGAAAGGAATGTTTCCACATGTAGCACAGGGTACAAATTGGTTGGGAATATCTGTGGGGCAGAGCTTGGAACAGAAGTGTGACACTGAGGAATGAGTCATTAGGACACATTTCTTAATAGTGTATGAAAAGGAGCACATGCTCTGAGCAGGTCAGGGTGTGACATGGCGCTGTGGAGAAGCTGTTGGGGCTGGCTGTAGTGTTCCTTCATGCAACCCTTGCTAAGGGAAATGGAGCTCAAGTTACATTGTGTTGACCTAATAAAGTTGCTTCTCCCCTTCCTCAGTGTTAACATAGTAGGGAAGGGAGAAAAGGTGCACCTCTATTGCTGATTGGGTTGCATTTACTCATTTTCCTCTTCTGTGTCCATTCTTTGCAAAGAGTCCTCATTCTGAGCCTTTCAGCCACTTGGCTGATATAAATTCTATTAGTGTTCTCTGTCTTTGCTCAGGTAGCTGGTGGCAAATATAGCTGGCTCTTGAAATGTAATTACATTAATGGACATTATTTTTTTAATTCTTTTATAAGGCGGGAAAAATTACTTTGTTCTACAAAGACCAGCACAAACAAATTATGAGTCGGTTCGTCATATGGAGCATATTAATGGTAAGTCTGATAGTTATGTAGCTCTTTTACAGACAGGCATTGTATTGCAGTGCAAAGTTAGTTAAACACGTTGCAATGGTTATATAAACTTTAGCAACTTTCTATTTCAGGGAATTATTTCTGCTATCTTGACAAAATGTTCTAAAGAAGAAGGGTTTATTCCCATAAACAAGAACTTATGGTAAGCAAAGAGATACAACTTTTTGTACGATTATGTTAAAGTACTACTTTATCTTTTGTATATTGAGATCTGTATCACATAGTTCTTTAAATATTAATCCTTCTACTGAAAATGTTTGTAGGTCAATATCGTATGTGACAACCACAGGCTGCTTTGCTTTCATCCTCTTATTGCTGATATATTACCTTGTGGATGTCAAGAAATTGTGGTCGGGTGCTCCATTTTTCTACCCAGGTCAGTTAAGATCACAGCAGGAAACATATTCCTGCCAATTCTTTCTGCACTGATACTATCCTTTTGCTTTCTACGCTTCCCTTGTCTTTAAAAGAGTAGGGATTTAGGATGAAGTAACCTGAAGGATTCCAGAATGATTAACCTGAGTGGAACCTTTGCATAGAACCGGGATACTTGAGACCAGATATTTAGGAGAGAGCGCCAGTCAATTGTTTAAACAAGGCCTGGAAGCTGCTGTTGGTATTGCCTAATGACAGTTCTCAGTTTGGTCTCGAGTTAAGGTCCCAGTGAACAGCTGCCTAGTACCAAGCAAAATACCACAGCTGTTCATAATTGGTTTTGGAAAGGACTGCTGAGACTTGTGTAACTTAATGGGAAACTCAAAGGCCTGTCAACAGAGTAATACCACTTCTGAAGATGTGGAAGATGAAATCCCCTGGGCAGCTGTGTAGGTTCTGTCTCTGTGATTTTAGATAAGCATGTCTCCCAAAGTATCTCACTGTGGTTTTAACCACACTGGGCACACAACAAACATGAGTACAGAATGCAAACCCACACCAGAGGGGACCTTTCAGCAGCTTTGGTGTCTGGTATCTGGACAGGAAAATGGGTAGGGTGACAGCATGGTATCGTACCTCCTACCAGAAATCCCAGAGCTTTGAAGGGCAGTCAGCATTTGTTTGTTAAGGCAACAGATCTGACCAGATAGGTTGGCACTCGTCCTCCCTGAAGACAATAACTTATTATTCTCCTTATTAATACAATTGCAGGATACTGATTTGGTTGTGTTTTCAATTTAGCACAAAGGTTGTTTGTATTTCTTTTCAATAAATGTTTCGGGAAAGAGAACCCTCAGACTGTATTTGAAAATGCACATATGTAGCATCTTTAGGGCAAGTAACATTAGCTGTTGTTGTCTCCATGCCACTCTGTTTTATAAGCCTGGCATGCTTATAAAAGCAAGCCTGCTTGCTCTGAAGCAAACTTACCTGCTCTTTCAGATGGTATGATCTGTGCTTCCTTTCAGGAATGAACTCAATCCTGGTCTACATTGGACATGAAGTGTTTGAAAACTATTTCCCTTTTAAGTGGAAGATGCAAGACAGTCAATCCCACGCAGAGCATCTGACTCAAAACCTCACTGCGACAACTCTTTGGGTCTTAATATCATATTTACTTTACAGGAGAAGGATATTCTGGAAAATCTGATAGAGATGGTCAAAGTGTAGCAGGCCTAGACTCTGATGAGGCAAGTGGATTATCCTGATATATGGTGGATTATCCTGGAATACTGCCACTCATGCTAGGCTGTATAACTAAAAAGGGATACTAGTTCACGTTTACAGTGCCATGGAAGTCGTCACCAAGACTTTTATGTGACTAAAGGGACAGTATTTTCCTATTTAGCAAAACCTTACTAGTCTGCTGTTGCTCTGTTTCCTGTCTTTTGTAAATATTTTACTGATTTCCCTCCTTCACATAGAGAAAGTGAACATACAGTTGGGCAGTCTAAGAGAGCCTGATGGTGTTCATGAAAGGAACTGCAAGGGATCCGGGTGGTGACTCAGGGGTTATCAGAATGGGCCTGTGGTAACAGTCCTTGCCTCTGACTCAGGTGGTCTGGGGTTTGTATATATCCTTAGCACCTGTCACATGTCTGTGCCCCTCTGGCTACTGGCACACATTTATTTAGCTTGGCCGTTGGCTCCACTCAGGAGCACTGGCAGCATCCTCAGCCCTGCACTTGGGTTGGTGGTGCAGTTACTGTCTGGGAAAGCTCTGTGTCAAGCGGTGCCCTCAGCTGATCATGCTTCATTATATTCTTCCAATTTGGCCTTGGACCAAAACCTTAGGTTTAGGATCCTGCTGAAGCCTGCTGCCTAAAATCTCGTCTGCTGGCTTATTAATCAGCAGGCTGCTGCTACAGGTTTGCAGCCCATCTGTGCATGTTCTGGGCCTTTGTGTTACATACCTCTAGCATGGATGAAGTCCGAGTTTCATGTGCTACACTCTAGGAGTGCAGAAAGGCCAGTTCCAATTGCCTTTGTATAATCACTTGGATACTGCCCAATTTCAGTCAAAGCAATCCTCTTTCTACATGGATTTACTTAAGGGACCTGAATCTGAAAACCAAACTAGTGCTAATAAAAAACCTGAAATACCTTGCTGTGTTCTCTGTGTATGTATAAAGATGGAAAGAACTAAGACAGACACCTTAGCATTATGCTATGAAAAAAACCACAAACAAATAGAATATTACAGAAGACTTCTTAAAAAAAGTTTTATTTATAAAGTTTGATCTACCCACATAAAAAAAACTAAGCAGCGAACAAACTCTGAGTAGTGTTTGTGTACTGCAGAACCTGTAACTCATAGGGAACTTCTTTGACTCTCTGAACAAGTGATTTTCCACTGCCATGCTGCTTGTTCATACAATTAAGAGCCTTCCTCTGTCTCCACAAAAGAAATGGCATCATGATCCAGTCCATTCAAGCAAGAGTTTGAAGCAGCAGTATTTTCTCATTAATGCAGAACCTATGCAAGACCACCATGAGATTTTCCCCACAGCGCGAGACCTGGCGCTCCATGGCCAGGCGGAAATCTTCCTTCACTCCTTTAGTTATACCCCGGGTAACTGTATGATGCCTTAAGCCATGAAGGAAAGAGAGACAGACAAAATAAAATAATTGTTATTTAGTGGACTACAGTAATTTAAAGGGTACTGCATGTCACTTATTATATATTTATTGTCCGTATCTGAGTTTATATAACGAGAGTCAAATAATGAGAGTCAAATAGCCCGTGCTATGCTATTTTTTAAAAATCATGTGTTTAGTAGCTTACAATTCGTTTAACAGAAGTTCCATTAAAAGTCTATGTTCTCACTGCTTTTACTACGACTGTTGGGGAGGAAATAATTTTGCTCTTTTGGCTAACAGGAAAATCTATTCTCTCAACTGAGCAAGTACAGAATTTTCCTTGCTTGGGAAAGGAATATTTTTTTTCTCTACTTTTGCTGCCCAGGCTGCTTCTTCCTTGGAATCACTTCTTTAAATGGTTGGGGATGAAAGAAGAGTGGCAAGATGAACTTGCTTTCTCTGGAGGAAGGGTGCCACCATGAAGAGCAGAGGGCATCTTCTACCAGTATCAAAGTGCAGGAAGGAGCTATATAATCCTGGGGGCACTGATAATGCTTTGACTAACGAAAGGCATAGTGAACATTTCATAAAACCCAAATCAAGACAGGCTGTGAGTCTGCATCAGTAGAAGCCAGCTCTTATGGAGATTCTAGACACCAGGCCAGGATTACATTTATTCTGAGCAGAAGTTCAGGACTTGTTTTTAAACAGAACAAAATTGAGCAAGCTAGAGCAATGCTGGCTGGGGAAACTCATGGGAAATTGCCCTGTTAAAGGCCGTTCATCTGAACAGCTCTTTGTCCTCGCACTGGCCTGTAGCACTCAACAACTAAATTTTGTCCTTAAAACAATGTTCTGCAGCACCAAAGCACTACACTTCACTAGCACTGGTCCAGAACTGGACAAGTAAGATCAAGACATTGTAACATCTACCTGCAAGCCCTACTCGGGAAGGGGAAATAAAGATATGCCCTGGAAAGAGAGCCCTAACACTAGTAAAGGAGAAGGATAAACTAATTTAGAGAGAAAAGCATAATGCTAATGCTGAGACAAGTCCTGAGTCATAGGTAAGAAGGGAAGAGCTGGTCCAAACCCAGCAACCACTCTGAAAGACAAAAGAAAATAAAAAATAAAGAGTGAGGGCATCTATGCAAATCCAGAGATGCTGGAAATGAGAAAGGGAAAAATCTCAGAATTACTCTCACCAACTATACCACCCAACTTCCACTTAAATAAGCAAGTCTGGCATTTGAGAAGAGACTTCTCTGCCAAAACAGTGGAGACTTCTGCAACACATGAAAAAGGCAAAGAGGAGACTAGCCTGGAGCTTATTGGCAATTCCTTAGTGAGCTAGGCTAAGTGAAGCAAAACCACACTGAAAACACTCCAGCATATTCAGAGGTTATGGGATAAGCCCTGTTTTCAGTCCTTACTGTTTTAAACATTGCTGGCAGCCAAGTGCTATGGTCAGTTACAACCTAAAGCAGAATACACAACCTACAGCTACTGAGCGGGCCAGCGGCGCTTTGGAAGATGTGTGTCATGTTATAGCTGGAAAACAGAAAAGAGAATTCAGAACAACCTAAATAAGGAAAAGTAGCTACAAATGGATCCAGTAACCAGTATCTTGAGAAGGAAGGGCTATACTCTTGCTAATATATGATCAAACATCAGTATAATTTTGGAGTATTTCTACATTATTGTTTAAATTCAATAGTGATTATTAAATTGAGAGGACACGGATACTGGCAACTTATGGGAAAAAGAAAAATAAATGTTATAATAGAACAACATGGTTTGCCAGGCAATGTAGGCACAAATGAAGGGAAAAAAAAAGATAAATATTAAGTAACAAATTGCTGAAAACCATGGGCAGTAAAACATGTTGACAAAACACAGCACACTATGAGTGGGGTTTTTCCACTTGGTACCTGTCAGCAGTCTGTATGCTGGGCTGTAGCACAGGTATGAATTCCTGCTGCAGTAACCCCATGGGAGGGCTAGAAGTCCTTTAAAAAACAGCAAATAGCAGCATTCAAACACCCACACACCAACTCCCCCTCCGGTGTAAAACAACTCTCCAGAAAAAGGAGCAACAAAAAAACTAGGGTGAGCTCACATAGCAATATGATCACTGAGCAGCCAAAGGGGTGCAGGACCCTAACAGCATCAAACATGCAAATATCCCCAGATTTCATTGCAAGGCTGTTCTACAACTGTGGTCTAAATACATACACATATTTTTGGAGTTACACTGGGGGAAAAGGACAGCAGCAGGCACAAAACAATACACAGCTGTACTAGGATGAACTGTCATAGCTCTTCCTAGGAAGCATGTCAGCCAGAAAAGATTTAATCAGAGGAGCACTGCAGATACCAGAGCTTCCCTCCAGAGCTGGCGAGAGCATGTCAGCAATCTGGGAGAGATCACAACTTGGAGTAAAGGGGTTTGCTGCTGAGCCCAAGCCGAGTGCATGCACAGTGGGTATCGGCCAAGTTGAGTACATGACAGTGTTTGTTAAAGGTTGCCTAAGTATCTTTTCATTAGCCCACAGACGGCCTTTTTCACCTTTACAAATTCAAACTGCATAAAAAAATGGCTGTTAGAGGATGGCACAACGTCAGAGCACAAATGCCTGCTCAGAGCAACCTCCTATTTATGACCTGGGCCACATGAACTGACCCCCAAAAGGTGTCTCAGCTGAAAGACAGTTTGTCTCCTCCCTGAAGTTCTTATCTTTATGTGTTATCTATAACAATATAACATGTCCAACCTAGAGCAAATCCAATGCCCCACTTAAGAAAAAGAGAAATCAGAAATTTGGTATACAGCGTACAGGTCTAGTTTCTTAACCTAAGTCTTTCAAAATGTCACCTAAATCTTATTAGGCACCTGAGTACTGAGTGCATCATTCACCCCCATAGATGCTAAGAAGGGAGCAGAGAGACAAAACTCACACTTACATAGCTATAATACTGAGTTAGGTGCTTACCTTCAGATCTCACAGATGGGCATTTTCATTATATCTATAATTTATTAACAGATATGGATGGAGAGCTATGCTTATAAAAGTCAAATGAAGATGGGACACTTAACACTCTAATATGGCTACAATAACCTGAAATAAAATATTCACAAAAATTATTCAATAAAATGAGATAATTTTTCAAGAGTTCTTGGCATGAATGAGTCCAGTACTTGCAAAAATGGACACGGGGAACAGATAATACAAAGGACCAGCAAGATGTTATTGGTCTCAGAGTGGCAGATGTTTGCAAAAGGGATTCTGTGCAACTTTGTCTTCACTACTGTTTGCAAGATCTGCAGTGAGAACTATATGTACCCATGTGCACAATCGGAATAAAAATTACTTTTTCAAGATACTTCGTTTCACTTCAAACCAACTGAGCTTCTCCTTCTCTGTCCCCAAGGACAGATGTGATGGGAATGGAGTAGAGGCAGAACACTCAGCTTTCAGATCAAGTTTATGCATTTTGATAGTCTACTATTAGATTAATTAGAGTAAGTTTTATCAAACAGAGAAGCAAGGTAATAAGCAGCAACTTCTTGCATATTGTTCTTTTTCTCTTTAACCTCACCAGCTAACACTGCAACTACTGACATGTATAATCAGTAAAACTATGAAATTTGGCTTGTCTAGAAGGGAGTTCAAAAGCACTTAGTGGTGCTCAATTCAAAGGTCATTGAACAAATCTTGTTGACACTACAAACAGAATGAGCTGGCTATATCACCAGTTAAACCCAAAGCCATGGACCTTCCTATTCCTACAATGAATACAAGCAAAGGGAAAGCATACAAGCTGTATATATATTTTGCAGAACCCAACTATAAGTCTACAGGCTACCAAGATCTTACTTCAGCTTCTGAAAACCACACTGCAGTTTGCTTTGCTGGTTTCAGAAAAATGAATATAATTTCCTATGAAGTACAAGGTACTTAGAAAAAAGT